AAAACTGGTTCACTGGTCAACCCATCAGCTACAGTATATGACATTCAATATATAATATATGAGCATTATCTCAAAGTGTTGTCATTTAAATGATAACTTAAGGTTTCCCTAAAGCAAAATTGTCATTTGTAAAATGATAGCCATCAAGTCTGCCATAGTTGTAGAGAATATGGCAAAATCTGCACCATATTACTCTGAGTATTACTGTGAGTGTTTGGAGGACATTTTTAAAAATCTCTACTTACATATACTTTTTTATTTTAATATTTCATTTTTAGCCTCATTTTAATGGAGTTTGAATGGATGCTGAACTAGTTTATTCTGATGACAGCTGAGTCTGAGACGTCCTATTACGGCCACCATAGTGAAGCCTCACTTAGAAATTATTTAAAGCAGTCAATGAAAAAGTCCCTCTGAGGTTAACAGTGCCTTACTGTGGAGACCTGGGTAAGACAATGTGACATGCTCACCCCAGGTATCTCTCTTCCTCCCGTCTCTATTCATCTGTCTTTGTCACTTACATATGATTGGCAGACAAGCTTTATCCCTCTCTCCCACAGTCAGACACTAAATTGAGGGTTATAATGGGAGTGGGTGAAATCACTTTGACTGAACAAGCATGTGTATTGGGTCATTAAAGGCTGGGTACGACAGTGATAAATGTCCCCAGTGCAACGCAGAGGCAAAGTGTGTAAACACAGAGAGAGAAGGACTGTTCCTATTATTTGGCTTGTCACCTACGTCAGCCTCAGTTTCTCGCAACAATTAGTGATGGTGTCCTCCTGAAAATGAAAACGAGTATCCCAGCTCTCTCATTGTTGGGTGTCTTCCTCTTATCTCCTACCCCCTCTATAGTTTTTACATTCTCCTTTCTATTCATTTTTTCCTTTCTCATATTCCTCTCTGTATTATAGTGTTGGCCTTAAGTATCCATCAGTAGTTACTGTCACAAGCATCATTTAGCTATTTACCACACTGAGAGATAAAGTTCCTAATCCATGTACCATATGTGCCTCACACGGTAAAAGCTTTGGTTATTAATACAGTTGTTTCTAGTTTCATTGTAGTTTCTCTCTGTGAAAGCGCTATTCTGTCCCCCAAAAGGGGATGCCGCCTTGGTACTAGGGGCATGATAACGTGCTGCTGATGCGAAATATAAAAAGAGTAACTACAGATAACGTTTCAACAAGGGTATTTGAGGAATAGATGAAATATGCTTGTCAGTGTTTGTTACAGATCTGACAAAATGGTGGATGTAACAATGTTATAGGAATCGTGCCGGTGGTGGTACAACACTCACCTGAAACTGGGTGTCGGTGGTAGAATATACAAACAGAATTGTTTTTTGGCAAAATATAGAGCCGATTTCACTCCGAGTGTACTGTAGCTCAAGTTCTTTTGCCTCTGTTTTTCTCTTTCTTCTTCCTTTCCCATCATCAGTTTCCCTGTCAGCTTTACGTCTCTTATGCCTTCTTCTTCAATGTCTCTGCTGGGTGAATCAGTCAAGCTTTGAGGTTTTTGTTGAGTCACCCCATTCCCCTCCAAACACACACACACACACACACACACACACACACACACACACACACACACACACACACACACACACACACGCTTTCAGCTATCGACGCACAGCATGACTCCTGTACTGCTGTGTGTGTTGTAGTGCTTGTGCACAGTGATTGCGTTTTGGATTCGTTTAGCCCTCTGTGTTGCTCTGAAAATGTGTACCGTACATTGGTGCAGACAGATTTAGTGTACAGTCAGTAAAATCAGTTCTCCTTGTTTGTTTCATAAACATCACTCTGGCCCTACAAAGCCAACTGTTATCCTTTAATATACTGTAGCTGCAGGTGAAGTTTTTCAACCAAAATGACTGATAACACTGTAATAAACGCTGAAGGAATTTGAGAAATATTTTTGAAGTCTGTGAGAAAATACAGCATTCGTACACGGATGAAGTTTCACGGTCTTTGATTTTAATCAAGGCTCTGACTATAGTGAAACTTGGAAAAATACTGCAAGATCAAATATGAAGTTTCTGCCAGTTCAGTAGTGAGAGAGCGTTTCTTTGTAGGTAGACTCTGTGTAAGAAGGACAAACAGGATCGCCTAAGGTTGACTTCCCTTTCGAGAGTGGAAATAAAAATGTTGAAAAGGAAAGAGATTCAACAAAGGAGAAAAGAAAACATTGCGGTAGCGAGGCCATGGTCAGTGCCAACTGAAAAGATAATGGAGAGTAAGCGATAGACAGGCAATAAAGAGAAGGACAACTGTGCAAAGAGAGGGGGATGTGATTGAGAAAAACAAAATGTTTGTAGAGACAAAGACTGCAATGGAGAAAAACAAATAGGAGAAAAAGTCACAGAGAGAGATTTTGTCATGGCCAGACTGTCCACAAGAAGAATTACTTTAAGTGAAAGGGGAAGCAGACTGGAACATTGTGACACAGGAGCTCAGTAAATCAACATTTCCAATTTTCTAACCATTTAAAGTTGGTAACACACCGAGCCTGGACTCAATCAGTCAATGCAGGCAATTGAATACAATAGTTTCTTGCCTACGCATCCTATTCCATCTTGGGATGCACGAGTATCATTACAGATATTTAACGGATAAACAAGGAACCTAAAACTGTAACAAACATTGTTGCATGATTTTAAAAAAAAGTCTGTCGACATGTACATGCCGAGATATTTCAGTTCCGAAAGTCACACCAGCAGTCAGAAGAATCAGGTTTTCCCTCTTCTTTTCCTCTCAAAGACAAGAACAGCATAGAAGGTTGTCTCATCTGGGCGTCATCTGATTACAGTTATCAAGTGTTATTTTTCTGTTTTAGTGGTGCAGTTAGCTTGGCAGCAGGGCCAAAAACATTTCCTGTATAGAGGTGGCAATGTTAACTCTCAATCACAGGGAAAATTGGGTACTGAGCTAGTTTCATCTGAGCCTGAAGATTGAAAGTAAAATAGTTTCAGCTGATGCTTCAGGGAAAAGTTTTGCCGTTATTATGCATGATTGAGTTTAGTTTCCTTTAAATGTAATGGTGTGTGTTGTAGAAGTTGCAGAAGTACTATTACATACACAAATTTAAGTAAGTTTAAATCATGATTCAGATTGGAATCAGATTTTATGTTGCATTGAATATTTGCAGGTTGTGTCAGTGACTATGTTTATTCACAGTCATTTTCCAGTATTTTTAGATATTTTGAATTATTCCGAATGTAGCATTTTCTGATTAAGACGTGGGACATGCCAATATTATTATTATTTTTTTTTCTGAGCGTGTATTAGCAAGAATCTGATATGATACACCTCACGATACAAAGGTTAGGATTCAATATATTGTGATATATTGCGCTACTGTAAGCAAGGTCATATATTGGGATTTTTTTTCTTTGAATCTAATTTTAGGAAATCTTATTTATGCAACCAGAACAGAGGGATCTGCCTCTGTATATATCACAGTGCCAGCTGTTTAATTTTTCCATTATGTTAATCAGAATATCCGAAGCTGCTTGTAAACGAGAATATTATATGGAATATTAATTTTCATTAGCCATCTAAACAGATTACTAGGAATATTGTCTTTTTCAGAATAACTAGAATATTTTGTGCATGTTCATGTAGTCACTATTCTCAAAACTAAGATTTAAAATATTCCTAGCAGACAAACATGCACAATGATTGTGTATGAATTTACAGCAACAGGTTTCATACGTTCTAAATCTAAAAGGGAAAAAAAACAAAAACTGAAGTGCAGTCCACACACACATTTGTGTTTGTCACATTACTCCGTAAATAAGTAAAGTGCAAAAAAAGAGGAAATAACTTTGAAGAATGTTTCATTGTTAACATCAACTCTTTTAATAATTTAGAAGTGTCCTCAGGCTGAGTTTTGCACTGATTTACTTCCCTTCAGGTGTGTGTGTGTGTGTGTGTGTTTGTGTCCTGCCTGAGGTGTGCACTGAATGAATGTGTTCTGGGTGTGTATTATTTTCTGCCTGAGGTGTATGAGTGCATGTCGCCTTTGACACAGTAGAAATATGTGTGTGTGTGTGTGTGTGTGTGTGTGTGTGTACGTGGTTTGTCTTGCCACAGCCTGTTATGTTCCACTTTAATTTGTTGTTGCCTGTGGATGTTTCGGAGGTCCTTCCACAGCTTTCAGCAGCTACCAATGAATGAATCAGTAATTATTTTGCTGGTTTTTAAAGTTCTTTCTGCTGCTGTTTCTTTAGCCGTGAGAAGATAATTGAATTTGTTTGAATATAGTGACAATTACCAGGCTGAGTTCTCCTGTAGTGCTCATTCATTTAATAATGCATTAAATAAAATATAAATTTTTTTTTAGATATTAAATTTAGGCCCTGCAGCATAAAAAAATTAACAATACTATAATCTTATATACCATTTAAATGAACACTGACACAAACCGTTCTGAAAGAGATTTTCAGGTCAGAGAATTCAGTTTGTCAATCTGTCTTAGTCATGAGGAATTAATGTGTTTTGGTCTAATAGGATCTTTATTCTGAATAGATTAACATATGACAGTTGCCCCTCATAGTTGCTGCTGCTGCTACGCCAGTCAAGGTGTCTGTTCTTGTACACTAGTTTACAGTGACAACAGTGGTGGATTTACAAATTGAAAAAATATAAACAATGGGTCAAAGCTAATGTCTTTGAATCTATAAGGGATATATGGGATATGCATTTGAAGCTACATGATATATATATATATATATATATATATATATATATATATATATATATATATATATATATATATATATATATATATATATATATATATTACTACACAATGTCCTGGTTACGCTTGACAGGTGATCTTGCTGTGTTAAGTTCCTTGTATTGGGGTGACAGAAGAAATCTGACCTGACCTTTTATTAATTAACATAATTTTATGGAATTTACCAGCAACTGGAAAGTTGTAATCTGATTTGATGTTAATCTCTTTTTCTTTTTCTTTGTCTCTCTCTCTTCCAGGGGTCCGATGGGTCCAATGGGTAGCCCCAAGCCTGGCATGCAACAAGGAGGCCATGGAGTTGGAATGGGAGGAATAGGAGGAGGTGGAATGGGGGGAATAGGAGGCAGTGGAATGGGAGGAATAGGAGGAGGTGGTATGGGAGGAATAGGAGGAGGGATGGGAGGAATAGGAGGAGGAGGGATTGGGGGAATGGGTGGAGGCGGAATAGGAGCAGGCATGGGCACTGGTGGAGGAATAGGGTCCAGAGCTGCCGAGCCCTACCGCCTGGCCACTCACGAGAGTCCAGTTTCCCCCCGACACATGCAGTCCAGCCAGGGGCACGGCATGGGGCAGGGCCCAGGGTCTGGACACGGGATGGGTCACGGTCCAGCCGTGTCCAGCATGGGAGGCCATGGAGGTCCTGGTCAGCACGCCTCCCGTCGAAACCTCCAAGTTGACTTCAGTGGTTCGGGAGGCTCCAGGACAGGCCGTTCTCCTTCTGTGTCTCCTGACCGCGGCGTGACACCCACCTCACCCTACTCGGTGCCGCAGATCGCACCAATGCCGAGCAGCAAAGTGTGCCCAGTGTGTACCACCACAGAGCTGTCCAACCCACCGGCTGTACCCAACTACAACACCTGCACCCAGTGTAAGGCCACCGTCTGTAACCAGTGCGGATTCAACCCCAACCCTCACCTCACTGAGGTAAGATAGGTTTGTCAAGGAGTCTGTGTGTGTTTATCTGTTTATCTGTGTGTGTGTGTGTGTGTGTGTGTGTGTGTGTGTGTGTGTGTGTGTGTGTGTATGCAGAATGGTTTAACTTGTTTCTTTTTTTTCCCATGTCTATCTTTACTTTGCCGCTTTAAATTTGTGCAACAAGAAAAGATTGTTGAGGTTTTGTGGCTACATAAATGGAATCAATAATCAAATAATGCTGATTTATAGTGAGGGGTTAAGTGTTTGGGTATGAATATAATTTAATCCTGTAGGCGGACAAAAGTCACTGTTGATTAATGTTTCAGGTTTAGATGATAAACAACAGGAGGCACACAGCTAAAGTTTGAGTCTGGAAACAGAACCAGCAGAAACACACAGGATAAAGATTTAGTCTGGCCTGTTGCTAGAATGAGCGAGGGAGCAGAGAGAGAGATGTTTTTGGCTCTGTCAGTAGCTACTTTTGTTTTTCGTGCCAAAAATCGCACCTTTGACTTGAATGAGATTGAAGTGAAATGACTGAATGAAGTGAACGTGTCAGTGCGGAGAAAATGATGAAAGAAGTTAAAAAGATGGTTTCAGGCGAGGGAGAAAAATTAGGTCAGGGAGAGAGAGAGAGAGAGAGAGAGAGAGAGAGAGAGAGAGAGAGAGAGAGAGAGACTGAGAGAGAGAGAGCATGAGTAAAAACTAGTTTAAACAAATCTGCTAAAAAATCTTTCTATTTCTGGAGGGAAAAAAGATTATGGCAAGGTTTAACTTTGTGTATATTTATGTATGTCATTTAAAGAGTAAATCACTGAAGAAATATAAAACGCATGTATGAGCAAAGGAATGAGACCATGAAAGTAGAAGCTGTGTGTGTGTGTGTGTGTGTGACTTTGTACTGTACGTCTTTGTGTGTATTTGTGATAGACAGTGAGTGTAAAGACTCAGCAAGTGGCAGTAATTCCTTCCTGAGGCGCTGACAGAATCTCCATTAATGTTCTGAGGCAAGACACATGGGTCGTGACAATGTGTGTGTGTGTGTGTGTGTGTGTGTGTGTGTGTGTGTGTGTGTGTGTGTGTGTGTGTGCGAAAGTTGCTTGTACTCAGGTGTGATGTAAAGACAGGAAGCCAAACACTACATTATTTGGCATTCAGAGAGAGATAGGGAGGGGGGACGGACGGAGAAGTAAAGAGAGAATGGACAGATTAATGCGACTGTAAAGTTATTCAGCGATGAATGGAGCGCTGAGAAGGAGAGAGGAGGTTAAGAGGCTCTCTTTGATTGAGAGGAGGTTGACGCTTGCCTTTGGTGATGGGTTCAAACTATCAGCCCCGTGTCAGCGTCTGGTGACAGATATGAAAATCTCAGCCTCCCTGGGCAGACAGGAAAGACTTCAGACAGAGAACACAACCGCGAAAAGTGCAGAAGCACAAGGCTATATCTGATATATTAGCCATGCTGGCGCCCATTGATTCCCACTGATGTCAGGTCCCGGGGCATGTCATTGGCAGACAGCGCGATAAACACTCTGCTGGATTAAACAAACAACTGTGGTTGTGTTGTTGTGTCTCATTTTTCATTTGCTGCATCATTTGTGGGGGAGAATATTGGCACCAGAACCGTCCATGTGTACCTGGTACATCATTCACCCTGATGCTCCATGCTAACAAATGTGCATCCACTGCTGAGCAATAGTAAATGACTAATACCATTAATAATAACACTGTTATTCAGTACTGGCAATTAGAAATCTCCTTTCTGTTTTGTTGTGATTAATGGCATTTTACAGATTTATGCATTTTAAAATGATTTTAATTATTTTAATATACATTAGTCCCTCTTTAAGACTGAACTTTATTTTTATTTAATAGCCTAAAAATAATAATTCAGACCTACACACAAAATGCAGTAAAAAATGTGAAGGATCCTTGAAGGTTGCCAATGCAGCAAAACTGCTCTCCTTCAGTGCAACTGTATATGACCAAGTGATTCGTCAGACAGTCTACCTCTCAAACGGGAGCACTTGATTTTATGGCTGCAACTATTGTGGTAACTGGTTAATTGTTCAAGTAATTTTTAAGAGAAAAATGGTTTCCAGAATCTCAAATATGGAAATTTACTGCTTTTCAGGCTTTTATATGATAATAAACTGAATATCTTTTGGTTTTGGACTCACAAAACAAGTCATTTAAAGACATCACCCTGGACTTCACACAGAGTGCCAATACTTTACTTTACTTTGGAAACCTGTGATTTTTATACAATGGAAAAAAAAAAAATTACTCAAGGTTTAGTGCTTTTAATCTTCTTCTTACTACTACTACTACTACTTCCACAGGTTGCTCTCTTAATATACGTTATGCAATGTTGGCATCTAGCAACTGACTTTTCCAAAAAACATTGAACAACCAGCAGCCACACAACAACCTTTACACAAGACTTAGTCATTGCTGGCACAGTATGTCATGAAGGTTTTATTGGTTGTGATTTAAAATTTGCCTACTGTATTTACAGTACATCAGCTCCTGACCGGCTCTTGTGGGATTATCTTTAAGACAAAGCTTTGGTCGCTGCTCAGGTGCACCTCCTTGTACACATGGCCCTGTGTGTGTGTGTGTGTGTGTGTGTGTGTGTGTGTGTGTGTGTGTGTGTGTGTGTGTGTGGTGTGTGAGTGAGTGTGTGAGTGTGTGAGTGTGTGAGTGAGTGTGTGAGTGAGTGAGTGGTGAGTGAGTGAGTGAGAGAGAGAAGGAGGGAGAGAGAGAGAGAGAGAGGCAGAGTGAGTACTACAGGTTAATAATGGTGGATAATGCAAATGAAGTGGAAGGAGTGCAGAGTTGATAAGCCTCTGACTTGGGGATTTGGACTGCACTTGTGATAGATTAACACACACAAAATTACACACAGATACACACAAACCGACATGCACACACGCACACAATCTATCACAAGTGCAGATATTTAGACACCCACACAGAGCACGCATATAGTCACCCCCATTTCGCTCCACATAATTCATGCAAGAAGCCTGTGCAGTAAATTGTGATGTTAATTAATTGAAGGAACCCACTGGGATTGCCTGGAGGGCAAAATGGAAAACATGACATGAAATGCAACACAACAGCATCAAATCCAGCACCTTAGTTAATTGTATTCCTCCTATACATCTGCATAGGATGAATGAAATATAAATTAATCTTTGAGTGCATTGCACACGATCAATCTAAATGTATAGGAGCATCATGGACTTCATCTACCCAATTTGACAAGTTCATGTTTACAGTGGTCACAATGTCATGGGAATGTGCAATAAGTTCCCTGGGATGCTTTAAAATATTCAAACTCATTTAAAAACTTTATTTGAAATGTCACAAACTATCCTTGCATACAGTAAATATTTTTAGGCAAACATAAATAACCCTTCCCTCAGCTGTGTGTGGCAGAGCTCCAGCCCTGTTGTGTCTGCAGCTATGGATTAATACTTAAACCGAACATTATCCATTATTATCACAGCTAATCAATGTGCTGTGTGTCCTGGTAATCTAATAAGCAGTGCCGGGCTCCATATCCGTCGTACTACGCTCTGATTCCATTTGCATCAGATAACATTTAGCAGACTTAGCCAGGCAAGCCAAAGAGATTATTTTATATTAACAGGTCAGGTATGTTTCATTATGACAACAAGCACTAAGCAACACATAGTCCTCTCATGCCCTCTTCATGTTTAAACAATGTTGATTTCATTGAAGGAAAAATGCCTCTTGAGAGAAAAACAAATCTAAATAAGATCCATAAAGATGAGCCATTTTCTCAATTAAAATGTTATCCTAAAAGGACACAATTTCTCTATTTCCTTTATAGCTGTGTGTTGAGGGTCAAACGCCTGTTCTGTCTAGAATTACAGATTAATACTTTAACTCAGCTTCCTCTGTCATTATTGTACTCAATCAATGTACTCTCTGTCCTGGTAATCTAATAAGCACTGCCAGCATCCATATCTTGTTACGTTCTGACGCCTTTTGCATCAGATAACATTTAGAAGACTAAACCAGGAGAGTGACGCCAATTATCAGGGCAAAGAGGGGGATCACAGAGAGATTATAGTCGACATATCTGATTCACGCTGAGAATGGACTTTACAGTGAAGTACGAGAAATCTAGTGTCCAGCAAGAAAACCTTAGAAATGAACAGAATTTGCATATTCATAGATTCTGGACTTTTTAATGAGGTAGAAGGAGTAGATGACTTAAGGATGTTAATGTGGAAATTAAACTTAATACCTTTATAACTTATTTTTATCTATATATGGAGGGGATCTTCTCAATCTGTTGCAGAGCCTCTAGACATTGGAAATAACATAATTATACACACATCACATATTGGTGTACAGAGATTGGAAATCAGCATTCATGAAAAGAGTACCACCTGCACACTAACTCCAAATCACAAATATATCAAAAGACGGATCTTCATTGCACAGTAGTAAAAATTCTTAACAAATTAAATTACCAATCTGCATTTAGGAAGGGTTTTTAGTCATGCAGCATGGCTCTAGATGTTGTGTTACCTGCATAACTAATGAAATTCAGCTGTACTTTGTCTTTATTGGTATTTAGCTAATTCTAAACTTAGATGATGAACATGGTAAAAACAATATACCTACTTAACTAGCATTGTCATTGTGATTATGGTAGCAGGCCGGTATTAGCATATAACACGAAACGCCACTGTAGAGTAAGTACAGCCTCAGAACTGCTAAGATGGATGTTGAGTGTTGTTACTGGACACATATTTGAGAGTTGCCTTTAAGTAGAGATCATAGGTTTGATCCCAAAGCGTTATAAAAAGAAAATGCTGTCACTGTCCTTAAAAGATAATTTCCATCGCCATTATGAAGCCCATTAGCAGTTCAAATATTGAGTCATTTTCTGTTTTTGAGACTAGAATTATCTGTTTTAGAAATGTCTACTGCAAAATTACAGGTAGCATTTTTCTTTACAAAATGGA